ACTGCACTTATTAAGACTCTGCTCTTAAAGGAGAGCTCTGTGAACTGGTAATTAATCAGCTCTGCAGGGGCGGGTGGGCGTACCTCTCATTAGTCCCACGCTCTGCGGGCTGTGCTCCTCCTCTTCGTCTAAGGGGTTTTGGGCAGAGTTTCTCAGGTAGCGTTGGTGCAGGCTGAGGCCAGGAAGCATGTTCTGTCTACGGCGATGAAAATCTTCTTCAAAGGGGTCATCAGCTGCAACGTCTGTGGGTGTGAGCAGAGCAGACAAGAGTGGGAATAAATCACTACTAAACCCTACCTATAGTATGGATCACCTGTGGTGTTCACATCATCATTAAACCTTTAGCTTTTTCTATAAAGCTTCTGTGAATTTCAGCCTTCTCACGTGCGACGCACAAACGTAAGCTGGAATGAAATTATTTTTGACTTTGTGATGCCCTTGGCAGTGTGAATCGCAATCAGCCAGAAGAAGAAAAAGAAATACACACATCTATTGCATCAAGTTGAGCACCAAGTGCAAAATGGTATATTGATGTAACCAACATGAAACCGCAAAGACGATATAAAACAAGAAGTTCAAAGAGTCCCTGAGGTGGTACAGACCCCTCCTTCCTTTTGAACACCAACCATACATCTCTTTCATATTTCATCTGCCGGACTTTATTGTGATTAGTCATGTAAATAAAATGAGATTTGGTTATTCTTTTCTCTAGGTAATTTACATTTATATTGAATTAGTGGCAGGCAGAGTATTGGGGGGGAATCCTGCAAGATTTCAGACAGATCTCATCACCATTGTGTTGTGTAATTAAGGCAGCGGAGAGGAGAAGAAAGGGGGCCAGATGTTTGCTGAGCTGAATCTGGTCCCATTTAGAAAAGGAGCTACACCAGTGTTTTGAAGTACGGCGTGTAGTAGCCTGGCCTTAAACACATCAGAATCGTGGCAGCTAAACATAAAATTTTAATGTAGATTGTGGCTCCATTGCAACAGTTTCTTTTCTTTGCTTTATGTTACAGTTTAGAGAGAGGTGGATCTCTTTGGATGATTTCAGAAGGAGCTCGTCCTCCTGCATCCCTGGATCTCAGCTCTCTTTAAATAGAGAGGTCATCCATTTTGTCCCATTTTTGTCCGTCACAAATGCATTTTGAGTGTGTTAAGGTCAAAACTGGCTGAGTATTTTTCACAGAACTTAGTTTATTTTCTTTCTGAAAACTTTTCATTTGGTGTATGAATTTCAAATTAGCCTTTTAAATCAGACACACTTTTAAAAACACCGAGATGACCCTGCAGAGAGAGACCGGCTCCCAGTGGCGCGACAGAAACGGGACAATTGGGGGCTTTACTGTCAAGGCTGCAAGGACTGGTTTTCTACCCAGCTTTTGGAAGAAAAAAATAACCAAATAATAATAATCTCAACATGCATTCATCTGGTGATCGTATCAGGTGTGGTTGGATGGTGGTTTAAGCCAAGATGTGCTTTGTTCAAGTCTCCAGAGGTTCGATATTTGCATTTAGTATGGGCTGGGTGATAAGAATCCTTTCACCATCAAGTCACATAATCCATGTGACTTGTATCCAGTTAATTAATTTCAACAAAAGCGATATCAAAGAGCAAAGATGATAATGAGATCTTTTAATGTTTATAAAGGCAGCCTTTTGTTTTCTGGATCAAGGAATGAATTTGAAAAGCAGAGGGAACATAGCTGAGTTCCTGGGTGCTTTCATTTGCAGCTACTATATATTGTCCTGAGTGACTATCATTTGTCTCCAGGCTAAACAATGTTGTGTGTGTCTGTAAAGACATGCACTCTGTCTAGACTGAAAGACAGGAAGGTGTACACAGGCACAAACACCTGCGTTAACACCTAAACACACACAGACACAAAATCTATTTGTGTCGACAAAAGCGGCCTTACTTGCAGCTTTAGTAGATCATGGAGGAAGCCTACAATAAATCACTGTTCAGGATGAGGTTAACCCTACATGGCATCTACAACTGCCGATTATTTTCAACAGTCCACCTTCACCTGGTACAAGACACGGTCTGGTGTTGAGACGATGTGATTCTACTGCTAAGCACAGTCTGTGTCCTTCAGTCGGTGCCAAAGAGAAACTGGCAGCTTATCTTCACCATCATTCATAAAGTGGCCAGTGGCTGCGTTGGGGTTTTGTGCTAAGATGTCAAGCACATGGAGTGGAGAGTTGCTGCCTTCTGCCAACAGGAAGCCATCCTTTATAATGTGGGGGAATCTCTGGGACAGGAAATCCCAGTATTGTGTGGCACACTGCGATGAATGGATGCAGAAAAAGAATACTTTAAAACTGCTATTGAAGATGTCTGCTGTATAACTTAGTGGTGTTCATGAGTTCAAAACAATATAAAACTAATCTTTTAAAAAATAAACTAATGATATAGTTGAATGTTAAGGGCTCAGTCTCACTGGCTATATTCTGGCTTCTTGTGTTGTTGTCACCTAAACAGAAAAACGTAACTTTAAACTGTGTTGTTTTTAAATCCCCCTTAGTGTTACTTTGGCACTGATTTGGGAGTTAAAGAAGGAACTCTGGCGTTGTGTTAATATTGAACTGTTTTGGAAATGTTAATTTGACTCTGAAGCGTGTGGAGATATTGTGGAAAATCCCCTCCCACTGCACTTTTCCTCTACCTGGTCTTACTGCTTCTTATAGGCGGGGGTCCATGGCCTACACAGGAAGCTGGTCGACGGCATGCGGGCACCTTATCTCTCAATAGTTTAAATTGTGTATATGACATGTAAGTTTGTGTGTTGCTTGTTTAACAGTCTGAGATGCTTTGAGGACATTTGTTAGGAATATATCATTGAAATGTTGTTAGTTAAACCATTGTGTGAGTAATATGTTTGGAGAGCAATTTAGAACTGTTAATTTCATGGGATGAGGAAATGTTCTGTTGAATTTAATGCATGTCTTTATTATTTTTCTTGTTAGACAAGCCTTATTAAACAAATAGACTGGACCTTTCTGTCTTGGCTCATCTGTCCTCAGCTGCTGAGTTGATGTTGATTCTGAGAACCACAGTTTGCTTTGAATAAAGCCTAAATGTTCTACAGATATATTAACCTGGCTGAAACAGCACAAGGCTTTTTGCTGTAGTCAGAATTATCAGAAATTACCCACATGGACTGGACCAAAAAAAAAAAGTGTTAATCAAAGCAAAGCGTTTGAACGTAGCCATTTTTGTCTTGATGACAACTTTGAGCACCACTGGCAAAGTTTCAACCAGCTTCATGAGGTTGTCAGTGAACAGGTGTCATGTTGTCAGAAGGTAACTGAATTCCATGCCTTCTCAATGCATTTGCAACCATTACTTGTGTTTGATGAGATACTGCATTATTCCACATTATAGCACACCTGCTCAAATGATTAAAGAGAAGTGAGTCTTTCATTGTTTTAGGACACAAAGGTTATAGGCAATCCAGGAAATGTCTACAGCTCTGAAAGTTTCTTCAACCACACGTGAAGAAAGCCATCAAACTGCCGTCCATGAGGACAGCTCCAGGAAGAAGGATAAGTGCATTAAAGTTACTGGTCTTAGAAATTTCCAACTAACTGAGCCTCAGATTAGAGACTGAATGCTTCACAGAGTTCAAATTTCAACGCCATCTTTCAGCAGAGACTGTACAGTGTGACCACTATGTGTTTGTGAGACAAAGATGGTATAAACATGCTGGAGGAGGTATGATGGTATGGGGATTTTTGACACGATTGGTGATTTTGTCACACTTAACCAGCATAACTACAACAGTATTCAGCTTCTGGTAAATAGTTGGACCATCATTTGTTTTTCACACCTGTATGGCCCCAAAACACATTTCCAGGCTCTGTGGGGGCTATTTGACCAAGCAGAGTGAAGGAGTGCTGCATCAGATAACCTGGCCTCCACAATCAACTGACACAAAGCCACTGAGATGGTTTGGAATGAGTTTGACCATAAAGTAAAGAAAAAGCAGCCGGTAAGTGCTCGGTGTGTATGGGAACTCCTTTAAGACTGTTGGAAAAGCATCCAGGGTGAAGCTGGTTGAAAGAAAGCCAAGAGTGCAAAGTTATCAAAGCAAAAGATGGCTTTTTTGAGCAATATTAAACAGGTTCTGGTTTGTTTACACCTTATTTGGGTACTAAATAATTTCATGTGCTGTGTCATAGTTTTGATGTTTTCAGTATGAATCTACAATATGGAAAATAAAAACTATTGAATGAGAAGGTGTGTCCAAACGTAGAGCTGCTGACACACGTGGTTTAGTTTTTTTTTCCAATGATGCTTTGGGTGATTCGTGCTGTAGAAATGATCTTTCAGTCAAATGCTGTCGTGCTGTCTTTTACATCGAAACAGCGCCATCTCGTGGCCACATTAGGTTCCACCTCAGGTTCATACAGCTGGCAAAAGGCAGCAGTTCTGTTTTGATGGACATCTCAGAGTTGATTAAGATCCAGTGATTCATACTTATATAATATTTTGACATTTCTGTATGGTTTGCTACTCTTTGACAAAATATTGCAGTTTTTACCTCACCGAGCTTCTAAAGTGATTCAAATTAAAAAACCTGAGAAGTGAAAACTGAAAGTGTTTGATTGAACCTCTCGCAATTTAGGCATGCAACTGGTGATTAACTAGTTGCTGCAAAGAGATCTGTCTAAACAGATCACACATGTAAAAACAGGTGTTGTTTTCAGAACAGGTTAGTTCTTTTACTGCAGCTTGCTGTGCTTGTGAACAAAGCAAGAGCAAATATTCGGTTTAGGCCCGCAGACAGGCAGCCCCCCTCCCCCAACACCACAGCACCGTCCGTGGATCGTAAAAACACATTGTTATACAACACATTTTAATAATTGCAATAACTAAACAATATAGAAAGAGACAAAATACTGTGTTGTATAAACGAAATAATAAAATGCAAAGAAAGGCATTAATGCATTGCGCTTTCGACGACATGGCGATGACGCTGATTTCTAACACCTGCTGTGTGCGCGTGTGTGAGAGACCCTTCTGTGGTGTGAGTTTGACTCAAAGTTAATGTTTGAATAATTTTGCTGTCGGTCCTGATGGATGTTATGAAGTGGTTTGGCTGACGAGACAAACTGGCGGAAAGCGGTTCACAAGAAAACATCCTGCGTGGTTCTGTCAATGAAGGTGGCGCCAATTCCAGATGAACCACCAAGACAAGGACACACTTACACAGGAGGAATTAGAAAGTACCAAAGACTGTCGTTCGTGGTTTCCTGGCAGAGACTGGCTGGAATAGATTTTCGTGTGGAAGCAGTTCATTCACACTCAAGTGGAGCAGGCAACTAAAACTAATGTTAACACATGACAAGGCCATGTCAAGTGTGCTGGTGGCAGTGAATCTCGCTTTAACATTTGGTGATTCTACTGCCACTTGTGAAAACTCGTTTTCAACTTGACACACAGACATGCCCACGCTTCGTACACAAAAAGCCCAGAACATGCAGCCAACGCCAAGTGTCAGGGTGCAAGGAAACGACCGTGAGGAGACTCAGCGCCACGACTCGAGTTCAGCTCTTCTGAAGGTAAGCTGCTTTAAAATACTGCTGTGTGTTCGTGCGCATATTGATGGCTGTGTACTCACTGTATTTTATAGCTTCTCTTGTAGCCGGCTGTTAAGTGCGTGAATGCAGTGTCCCATGTTCCAAGATGACCTCTGTGTTTCTGTGTGATTGGGTTTGCTGTGCAGCAGGTCTACCTGCAGCATACTGTGTTATGTGAGATCCAGACCTGCGCGTTTGTGCCATTGCATAATGCAGCAGCGCGCTAAGTGCACTCGTACTTTGTACTGTAAGATCACATTAGCCTCACCACTTATTGAAAGAGCATTATAGGGCGAGATTATTTATGTACAATGTGAACACAAAGTATAAAACCTGTCTATGTACATGTGGGCGCCTGGCTTTTGCTGTAGGATGGACTGAAGCCTTAAGCCTTACTTTAAAACCGTTAAGGCCCGGATGTCGCAATCAGCATCAAATATCAAACTCCTCTGAGTCATAACTCAGATCTGAACACAAACGTGGTACAGCACTTTTAGATTCCGTGTGATGTAAACATTTGGAGGATTACTTATGACGCCCATCGCCAATAAACGTCCCTGACCAAATTGGTAAATCACAGAAAAAGACGCTCCTTATTTCTCCAGATTTTGCCTTAGACTAATCAGGTTTTTAAGTTTTCTTTAATATCAAAGTAATACAGTGATGGGTTTTCTGCACATCAGTGGATCCATTCTAAATCGTAACTGCTAATAACTCATTCGCCATACTTTTAATGGTGCCAGTTTGACTAAATTTAGAAGTAATATTAAATCCGTTCTGTCGTGGTGTTAAACGCTGTTGGTCCAGGAGAGGGCGCCATTGCACCATAAGTATAATTCCTGCCACTCACACACCTACAGTACACACTGTATAGTCACATGTACTAATTATTGTTTGTGTAATAACTGAATTATGATTTTTACAGATTTTAGGAAGTTAAATACATATCAAAATATATAAATATAAAATAATGCTGACAGATTTTGTGTACATGGACATATAATTTATAAGACATTGCTGCCTACTTTGTTCATGTAACAGTCCTTATGTATGTGATCATCTCTTCTCTACCCTAATCTTCTCATGCACACAAATACAGTACCCTGCGAAAGTATTTTTTCTGTTTTGTTGCATTACAACCTGGAATCATGTGATTTACACAACATGCCTGATGGTGCAAAATGTTCCTCTTTAATTGCTTTTTTTCTGGCCAGTCCTCCATTAGGCCCCCCTCTGTGGAGTGTACAGCTCAAAGTGGTCCTATGAACTGATGCTCCCATCACAGCTGTGGACCTTTGAATCGCCTTCAGTGTTGTGTTTGGTGCCTTTGTTGTATCTCCCATTAATGTCCTCCTTGCCTGCTCTGTGAGTTTTGGAGGGCAGCCTTCTCTTGTTAGGTTTGTAGAGGTGCCTCGTTCTTTCCATTTTATAATAATGGGTTTAATGGTGCTCTGTGGGATGTTGAAAGTTTGGCATATTTTTTTATAACTCAGTCCTGATCTATGCTTCTCCATGACTGTGTCTCTGACCTGGCTGGAGAGCAGCTTGGCGTTCATGTTGCTCAGTGGTGTAGCAGATTCAGGAGCCTTTTGGAGCAGGTGTAATTATACAGAAATGATGTGACAGACCATGTAGCACTTAGGTTGCACACAGGCGTAGCTTAATCAATGAATATAATTTCTGAAGTTAATTGGTAGGATCAGGTCTTATTTAGGGGTTTCATAGCAAAGGGAGGTGAACACTTATACACTCACAACTTTCCCATTTTTATTATTGCTCATTTCCATTCTATTTGAAGAACTTGGACTATTTTGTTAGTCACTACATAAAATCCAAATATAAATCTGTTTAATTCCAGGTTGTATTGCAACAAAACAGGAGAAGGGTGAATACTTTCCCAAGCACTGTATAACTACTGATAGAGGCACAGAGGATAGTGGTGCAGGGCTGCAGTGTCCCTGCTTCAGTCAGTACTGTAAGGACAAAGCAAGCACAAACCTAATACTTGAAGCTGTGCCCTCCTTGCTAGACCAACTCCACCAAAATACAGAGGCAGCATTTAGTCATGAGGCATTAAATTCCATAACTATGGAAGAGGATTAGGGCCGGTGTAAAAAAAAAAAAAAATACCCTCCCAAATATGACTTTTTTTTTTTT